TAATTTTTTGTATTCGGCCCATTTTTTCAATGATTATGTTTGCACTAATGTGCTTATATCAAAATGCAGAAAAAAAAAGTTACGGTAAACTTTTAACTACCCATCCTCCACCATCCGCCAGAATAATTTGTATAGGCATGTTCGTAGGAGTCCTGAGAATACGATCCCGCAAAATGTGGGTGCCACTTTGCGCCACTTTGGCCGCGACATCACTTTTTCTGTTGCATTCCGAGATTGCGCGCGAGCGTTATCTCGAAAATCAAGCGACCAGTGAACTCTCGTAACTGCTAAATGACCCAGGTAGGTATGATTCCTGTTCATCAGAAACTGAAAAACAAGTTTCACCATCAAGACGTGCTCTTCGGCCCGTTTTTCGTATTTTCATTATTTCCTAAACTACATATCTATAGGAGAACTAAAAAAAAATCGGACATATTTTCACTCGGACATCCCTTTATATTCCTTATAGAAAGCTTTTTTGGGACATATGCGTAGATAGCTAGCTTGAGGAAACTTTTAGCAAGTAACCCCCCCCCCCCCTTTACTTGCCTGGCCCCTGACTATGATGCCATTTTATCTGTTGGCCTCCGCGATCGCGCGCGACCGGTCACTGGTGAACTTTGATAACTGATGCTTCTTTCAAATACGTACATATTTTTTAATTTTTCACCTATTTTGATGTAAACAAAGTGCAGTTAGTGCGAAACTAATTACACTGCGAGTACGTTTTAACGTTACAAGTCCGGGAAATTTTGGAATTTTTGCGGTTTTTTGCGTTGCTTGTTTCTTAAGTTTGATGCGGTTTGAGAGCGGAAGACGAGGATGAGAGTGATGGGGAACTGAATATGAAGAAGAAGAATAAGGAGAAGCAGATGACAGATGACTGTTACATGTTTAAATTTTTTTTCTTTTCTTTTTTTTTCTAGCCATCTAGTGCTTTTCCTACTCTAAGTCCCTGTTCCGTCATCTGAATGTAAATATGAATCTAAAGTAAAAGTGATCTTGGATATTTTCAAAGAATTTATAAATGTATTTCATTTGTTTTCTCACCGATCTTTATGCATAAGAATGATATCTTATGACAAAGTTTCGAAACTAACTTTGCAGTGAAGGGAATGATTTATCTGATGCAGCAGCTCATAACTGGGGAGGTATTTTTGCGTATTTGTGACACTTATTGGTAAGTTTTCATAATTTTATTCATAATTTATCCTCTTCTATCATGAAAAATTAAAAACTCCGTCCTACGAAGTAAAACACAGACGCCTAAACTTTGCACCTGTATAGTTTTCCCGACAAAATGCACAAATACGGGTCTTCAGGTACGTTGTTCACCAAAAATAACATAAAAAATGAATTCTACGCGAAAAATTACATGAGATATGTGGTACATAATCGATCAAATGACCAGGAATATTCGTTATCCTCGTAACATTGGAAGCGCAACGCTCCATGACCGACCTCTCCCATTGACTCGATCCACCGTGCGGCGCCTGAAGCAACTATTTCACAACAGAGGTGTTGCACAGTATTGTACGAAATTGAACATACAATTAAGAATGACAGGCATCCTTTAAAAGAACAGATCTTTCCTCGCAAAATAAATCAAGATAATTATCGTACACAGGAAAAATCTAAGAGCCTTTAGCAGCTGAGGCAAATATAGAGGTTTATCCGGTTCAGGTATAACAAGGTGGGAATTTCTTGAAACATAATTGAGTCCTGTTACGGGCCAATTAACTTTGGGTCTCAACTGGCACTTGGACCAAAACTCCCGTGCCGAAAAAACGTGTGGACGTAAATTACTGGAAAAAACAGGTGCGCGGACAAAAAATCGTTGACGAAATGTCCTATAACCCTTATCCACCCCAAATCTTGACTATGCCTTGTTTTATATCCAGCTCCGACACATCTCATAGAAAAAAATAGGGGCGTCATTCTGAGAGCAGATAAGATTTCAAGGTATAACCCCATCACCCTCCCCGCCATCTTTCAAATGCGACCTTCCTGTGAAGGATACGAGTTACTTTTGGTCAAGTTTTCCGTATTGGGGAACTAACCTTTTCCAATACTGCGAACAAATTTGGTTCATATAAATCGGATTTTTTGTGATCTTAACCGCCCGCACTGTTCAGACTGTCCAAACTTTCACTTAGAAACATTAAATTTGTGGAATCGCACTACTTATTCATTTTGGTAACACGAATCAAAAGTGCAGTTACGCGAATTGAAAATCGGTCATAAATCGGAAATTTGTTTGCATACATGGATCAAAAGTTCAGTCGCACAGAGCGTACGTTTAATTTGACAATACGAATAGCTTCCAGCTTCGGTGGTAAAAAAAAAAAAAAAAAAAACTTTGTCATTTTTAAGCGTCAGTAAACCATCCCTTGGGATCTTAGGAACTTACGTTTTTGGAGANGGGGGGGGGGGGGGGGGGGGGGGGAATCGGATCCTCGGTACCCTGCTGGCCCCGACTATAAACTTGGCGTTCCTTTCTTATGACCTAACTTATTTTTGGTGTTACAATTCTTTTCATGAAATTAGGATCAAAGTAATTGAAAAGCTTAGGAAAAGAGGGTTCCTTCGAAGTGAGGAGCACCAAGCACAATCGAAGCAACGCCTGGATGGCCTGTGTCATGAGTTTCCATTGCTTATTTGTCTGTCTCATAACTTAAAATCAGCCAAAATGACGCCCCTGAGACATGAGGAAAATTTTCGCGATCGAATATGACAGACCATACCAACTGGTGTAAATCCAAAACGAAACCGCTTCCGAAGGAAATTCTGATATATTTGTGGACCAAACTGAGAACTTTCGCAGAGGGGGAGGGCAGAAAGACATCCCACCGAAGGTAGTCTAAAAGACTCTACCAGTTCCAAAAAAAGGGAGTTTCGAGGGATCCAAAAGGAGGTCCGGAAGGTCTCCTCGGGAAAATTTTGAAAAGATCAGTCGTCTACAGGGAAGTGTTGAATTATCCTGCCAAAAAGTTTATCGGAATACATAGTTTTGAAGGTAAAAAAAATGTGTCGCGCACTTATTCAGCGAAATCTGTCATACTTTATGTTCCCCTCTTGTTCCGTCCACGGATGTATCCCTTTGACAGCAATTCGTATCATATTCCCGTATCTTAGATTGACCTCCCGGGGTGAATTAGGTGAATTTAAAACTGATTTTTTTGTAATGAGTACTGGACCAAAAAGCTGCGACCGGCACATATCTGTCTTCGACTCCTTCCGGCTGTTTTGTTTGCAAAGTTGGTATAAGCCTGATTTCATCGGAACAATTCGTCATCTCCCAGACGAAGAAATGTAACTCAACTCCAAGGTTGCCAAATTGACTGAAACAATTAATTTATTTTGAAAAATGTATCCGTGAAATTTTTATCAAAAATTCATCTGATTTTTGCATGAGATCTGAAGAAAAATTAGCGAAATGTCCAGTTAGAAATGACCAAGATATTCCAGATTAATATGCAATTTGTGGGATAAAATTTAGCAACATTGAAATAGAGTTACGTTCTTTCATGAGGGAAATGACAAATCGCGTGATATTCGATGACGAAAATTGTCCTGGAATAAAAAAGAAATACTGGAAAAAAGCTCTGGCCGTGGAAGCCGTACTTACGGGCTATACAGACATACCGGCCGCGTTCCGGGCGTAGAAGCCGGAGGTTCCCAGCGTAGCGGCCGGAGCAGTCGAAGCTACGGTTCCAACACCCGGAACTTTCGGCCTCTGAGCCCGGAACGGACGGTAGAGGCCGGAGGTTCCTGGCGTAGTAGCCGGAGCAGTCGCAGCTACGCACGGCTCCAGCAGAGAGTATGGACAGATGTGAAACGCCGAAAATCCATCAGGCCTTCACCGATGCTTCTGCGAATAAAGTGAGGGCCCAGAAATGCAGCCAACCTATGAATTTCAATTTTCAACCCAGAACGATTTACTAATACTATTGTTAAGAACCGTCGTTTATAAAGCACGTATTTGACTCAGTTTTTACATAAATTTACTCATTTTTGCGGAGGAACGCTCATTTCTGTACATTCTTGGCCATCTTGGTTAGAATTGGAATCTGCAGACTCTGCAGACTGGCAGTGAAATTTTGTGTGTCAGAAGTTTGTTAGAAGGATGGCTGCACATTTGGGCCCTAGGACCTCCACGAAGCGATCTGTCCATACTCTCGCTATACAGGTACTCTAGGAACTTTCGGCCTCTGAGCCCGGAACGGACGGTAACTTTGTTTTCAGTAAAAGAAAGTGAGAAAGAAAGAAGTGATAACCACGTCGAGGAGTCTCATGCTTACTTGTGGGCTTGCTCTCTCTGTGGCTAAGTGTAATGAGTTGTTACGAGTTTACTAACTTCGGCCGGGAGTCCAGCAATGGCCGCGTAGGCGAGGGACTGCGGGATGACGGTGAGGCCGACGGTGAGGCCGGCGACGAGGTCCCCGGCGGCGTCGTCGCGGGAGTAGCCCGGCAGCCAGCGGGTGATCGGCAGCCGCTTCTTCAGCGACTTCATCGTGAGCCCCTTCCGCACCCGGTGCTCCATCCACGGCAGCACCGAGTCCATCTTCTCCTTCACGGAGACCTTCCGTCGCGGCCGAACCTCCTCCACCACTGAACAACGCAAACGATCAAAGTTAGCGTTCCATGGGACCAGAGGCAAGAGACCCTCAATGGAAATGTTGCGTGTGTAAGGGATTTGCGATTTGACCATTGTTTCTTATGTAAAATTTCGCGAGAAATACGATGGTGCCACTGGTTTTCTCTGAAATCATCTCCCTAGCTCAAAAAAAGCTCTCGAAGTGAGGCCAAAATGGAGGGGACATCCCACCCTACCCTGAGATTCCACCTCTACATCAAAACAAACTCTCCATACAAAGATAGGTAGCAAATACATTGACAGGGCTGCCACTTTCTTTGGGAACTCCAAAACTGAAAACACGGCAACCCTGCTAATTTATTTGCTCCCTATCTTTGCATGGAGAGATTGTTTTGATGTAGAAGTGGACTCTCAGGGTAGGGTGGGATATTCCCTCCATTTTGGCCTCACTTTGAGAGCTTTTTTGAGCTTGGGAGATGATTTCAGAGAAAACCAGTGGCACCATCGTGTTTCTCGCTAACTTTTACATAGGAATCAATGGTCAAATCGCAAATCCCTCACACATGCAACATCTCCATTGGTATCTTGGCGATAAAGAAAGATTTAACTTTCGGGAATCCAACATTCAACTGTTGACCTACCACTAACGACAGACGTTCAAAAGGTAGCTTCGAAGTGGTGGCAGTTTTAGTCGAGGGTTGCGCATCAATGCGGTTATATCGATAGCACTTGACTATCCAGCCACCACTTCGGAGCTTCACTTTGAACGTCTGTCCAGACTTAAACAAACAGAAGTTTGATAGACTTATTTGACTAAAGACGTTACCCGAAGCTCACCAGTCACCTATTCTGCCGTGTTACGGAAGAGTCAAGTTTGGGATGAGCCTTGAGATATATAAGATAATCTGCTAACGGCGGCTCATATACATAGAAAGGCACTTACGTCTTTCTTCTGCAACAAGGCAGAAATAGCAGGTAGGTCAAGAGCCGAAAAGAGGGTGATGCATGGCTATTGCTTCCTCATAATTGCCCATCAGGAAATGTTGAGTCCCCGAGGGTAAAATTTTCCACCTGTCGCCAAGAGACCAAAGGAGGGTCTCTTTGTCTCTGCATGATACAAAGAGCTCAGTGGTCATTCTCGCAAGTTACCAATACTGCATTCCGTCCTTTTCAATCTGTGCAAAAAATCGATTCTTGTCAAGGCAGGCTTTCTCACCTAAAATCGATTTTTTCCGGATTTTAAAGGGAGGAAAATCAGTATTGCCGACTTTCGAGAAATGCAGCTGAAAGAGGTATACGACGAGCCGGATGGCCGCAGCAGAGGGAAGAAGGCACACATTGTTACAGAGAAACAACAAAAGGCGAACAAACAACCTTAGATACACAGTATTTACCTTTAAATTTCAAAAATTTAGCTTCCATTATTTAGCTACCTCGTACGAGCAAACTGGTGAACTTTGACTAGTTTGGACGATGATATTAAAATCGAAGGACAGCCCAGGGCTGCAGTTAAAATTAGACAGATTTAGCCAGAAGCAGCCTAACTACATTTCACGTCGTCCAATTTTCTCTCATGTTTTATTTTATTCGCACAAAAGTAAAGAAGATGATGTCTTGACATTTATTGTGAATTTCCTTCTTGACGACAATTTAAATTCAGAATTGCGCTTAGTTGTTCGTTAATGAAATTAAAAACGTGATAAGTGAGGCAACGCAACGCCGAATGTAGTTAGGTTGACTCCAGTTAATGCTTTCCATTGTGAGAGAAAGGAGGCACAATTAATTTTGAATCTATTGTAGTGTTATTGGTTTTAGTCCAATAATCTCAAATAAAGAAAGCGATGACCTCTGGCGAATTTTCGCAAGTGGATGTAGGTCACTTTTTGGACGACATCCAAACCGGATTGGCAGGTTTGCAACCCGTAAAGGAGAAACACTCAAATGAAGTCAAGAATAATTAATCTCCGTGGTTTGATAGCGCTAACGTTTCCATTCACTGACGTGAAATTAAAATCGAAAGCAGCATTCACAACACGGTTTTAAGCGGAAAGATGATTGACAAATTAGAAATGCGCCACTATAGGAAGCACTAAAATTTTCTAGTTCAAATCGTCACAATATATATGTTTAATGCCGAAAGCCCGATCCTTCGGGGCAAATTTCTAGGATTGCAGGCTCGTGGTGTGCACTGGTCGGATATTGTGTACACCGCGGGCGGTAGGTCTTAAGCGGCAGGTATACCGGTGCGTAGAACGTGTGTGTTGAAAGGGAAACACCAAAAGACGACGAGGATTTCTACAACCCTAACTCCTCGCTGTGCTAATAACGTTTTTTTTATGAGTGAAGTCAAACTTTCCGCTCATGGAAGGAAGAATAATTTACTTGTGTATTGAATTGCACGCTAAACGTCACTAAGACAGTGTCATCAAAAACAATATGAAAATATGGCAACGTCAATCTTGACGCTTTGATTCAGCTGTAGCAAGCTGTGCACACTTTGACCAACACAGGATGGGAAAGAAACAATGCTCGATTGAGTAGTCTGCTACAGCCGTTGTAGTGCACGCTTCGACTCGTGCGGGCCGGGAAATTCTAATTTCTCTTAACCAAGATACAATATTGAGTAAATACGTTAATATCTCAGCCATAGGAGTTAATTTCAGTAGTTTTCACTGCGCAAATCATGTTTTACGTGAAATTCTAGCGAAAAATCATTTATCAGAGTGCTTAAATCGGTGTACCTTGTTTCATGGTTCATTCAATCTAAAAAAGCGAACATAGAGTATTTTCCTAACTTTTCTCGGGAAAAAATATTATATCGGGAGAAACGTGGCAACGTTGGAATGCTCTACGGCGTCAAAACACAACATGGGCCGTTTAAGCCCGATTTTTCGATACCGCAATTATTATAACGCGAGTCTGAATAAGCGTGCCAAACACAGTGCGGTCGGCGCGGCGTTGAAAGCATATTAGCGCCTGCAAGGCTGCATGCATACTTCTCGCATTGCACCAAACGCAGTGCAGTCGGGAGTCGCAGTCTCGCAGTCGGTCAGCTGGCCTGACACGCATATTAGAGCTTACAAGACTGTAAGAATACTTCTCGCATTGCGCGCACAGCACGGTGCGCGTTTTAATCGTTGTAATTGCTCAGTGTCAGACCCACCACTTACGGTACGGTGGGCACAATATCCAACCAGTGTACAAAGCGAGCCTGCAATCCTCGAAGAATCTTGGAGATTTTTCTGCTTTCTGTTAACCATCCCTTTATTAAATATACCTCATTGCACCTCATCTACTGGTTCTTCAGACGAATCAAACGTCAAAATTTGCCAGATTTAGTTGCAGTTCAAATGTCCGACTTCGCCTATTAATTGGCTCGTTCTACGCAGTCTGGCAATTTTGATGTTTTCAATTATGGAGAATCCGTGTGTTAAGCGTAGGCGTCCAGCAAGGTGTGGTCATGTTTCTCACTACCTACACCTCCGCGCGGCACATGGAGCGGCGTCTAGTCTATGTCAGTGATAGGGAAATGCAACTGAAGCGTGAATCGGGAAATTGTGCAGGCGTCGATATTTGATTTAATTTACGGAAGGCGTAGCGAGGTAACTATTCGACCACGCGTGTAGGCATATTGCCGCTAGCTGGATGGAAGGCGCGCCACACTTCCAGCTTACTACGCGCGTTTTGACCGTAAAACATGTGATCAGCTTTTTAAAAATTATCAAATGGGCCAATTTCCCCTCTTCATCTGGAACTGATTTGTGACAGGAATATTTTAAAATTGCTAGAACTTGATCACCATCTCTCTCTTTTTTTTTAAAAAAAAATTATATGATCTTGAGAACTTCCATGTAAGGGGGCTTCAAGTATAGGCTCCGAATAAGTTAGACACCAAAACCTCTCGATATCAATAACTGTGATTTTTGAAAAAAGAAAACTCTCAATAAAGATATGAATAAATGCATGGGTAAATAAAAAGATAAGAAATGTTATCTGAAACAATTAGTTGCTAAAACAAAACCCAACTTTTCGAAGTTATTGCGTGAGCGCGGATTTGAAAGCGCTAACTATAATTGGAGGCCCCTCGTTGAAATCAACGGTTCATCTATAACACAATAATCGGGCAAAGCTTCGTATCTAACAGCAATAAATGAGCATTTATAAGAGCGGTTTGATTTATGCGGTTAGATAGGGAGTGACAGCGTCCAAGTGCACCTGTCGACGATTTCACATGGTAGGAAACGTTTAAACTTGAAAAAAGTAGGGCTCGATATACGCAATGCCAATCGTCTCTCCAAATCCTTCATCAGATAAGAGCTGAAATATAGTAAAATTGCAGTGCCATTCATCGTAAGCATTTAATTTTAGAAGGAAAAGAGCTCCGTTGCCGTAAAATCCAGAGGCGAGGCGAGAATGATCGATTATCGATATTTCCCCATTTGAAGCTGTGGTAAAGAATCGATTATTAAGGCGTTCGTTGCGAACACCCTGTTTATCGATCCTTTTCTATAAGTTTAAATGGCAGATCTATCGATACATCGCAAAGCACGCCATGCCACTGGTAAAACCTCTGATTTTATGCTTCAAGAACGATAACACGGGAGGTGTATTAGATCGAGCATGTGAACTTGACCGCTTTTTGATGGTGTTTTCACAGCTACCGAGCAGTATTCCCCTGTAGACACTGGAGAAAGCCATGCATAGAAAAATGTTTACTTCATCCGTAGGAAATGCATTTGTGTAGTGCTTTGACATTAAAATTACTTGCTGATTAAAGTCATAAACCCCTATCTATCTCTCTTTCGAAGTCAGGGTCGAGCATATATACCGAGACTGGATTAAGCTACTGCCAGCAACATTCTAGGTAGCCCAGAAAAAGCAAATCGCACTTATTGAGAAATACTAACTATATGAAAATAGATGAGACATTAAAATTGAAAATACCCATTTTTCCTATCTTTTCCCCCAAATAAGTTTTGCGAGGAAGCCGTTTCAGTGGATGTGTTTGTTACAGTTGCCATTACAAATTCGCTTCACAAAATAAAGACAATCACATTGTCCTTTACAAATTGATCCGTTAGTTCAAATTTTTCTGTCGGCTTGTTTTTACGGCAGGGGAACGGAGAAAATTGACGAATTCTCTTGGTATTATCCCCACATTTTCAGAAAATTAAAACATTTTTTTCCCTCGATACACGAAATACTAAAGAATATATCGGTTTGAAGAATTAAGTAAAATTAAATTTTCTTAACGATGTGTAGAGAAACTTAATTGTTCAGTAAAAAGGGTATGGGTAGAAAATATTTTATGTTTTCTAATTTATTTACATACGTATAGCTAATCGCTATATATAGTTATCCTATTCATCCACCTTCGGAAATTAGACGAGCAAGAACTCAACCAGCAAGAATTTTAAAAATAAAATGTTTTGTTTATTTTGTCTCCATTCTTGAATTCCTATCATTCTTTGGGTGGCTAAAGATCCTCAAATACCTTTTTTAAAGATACATTTCCGCGGCGCTAAGTGAATTGTGGATTTGATCACGATTGGACCGAGAATTTACTCGAGCTCAAGGCTCCAGAAAATAAAATGCACTTTTCCCGTCAGTTTGACCCTTCCCCCATCCTGAGAGGTCATGCTCCAGTGGCAAGAACGTTACTTTCCTCCCACTCATGAATTTTGTCACGCTGAGCAGAGAGTGCCCTTCAAAGTTCAGCGGTCTTTTACCGACTTGTGGCCCAAAAATATAAGTGTTCCCCGCGATAATCCGGAACTTTCAAATTTGAATAGTTACGTAAAATTCTGAGCTTAATCTCCCTCTTCTCTTCGTGACGCACGGCCACTTACAATTAGACTCATCAAATCCATTATCATTAGAGTGCGTTACGTACTACTTGAAAGCGCGCCTTAATCCCCGCACAAACTTTCGGCTCAAAAGTGAGAGAGGAAAAAATTGCTCGTTTTAACGAATCATTGATGAATAGTTGCTCACGTACTCATAAGTATTCGTGCCTTGATTACGGAAAAAGATGATCATCCTTGCAGAGAGAACCAAAAACCAAAAAAGAGAGAAAATATTCAACTTACGAATGAAGTCATTGCTGCCAACGTCAAAAGTTGGGTTGACTCTTCCTAGATTAGCTGAATAAGGCGGGGGCAGATTTTGATTGTTTTTGTCATCTATGGTGTACGAGGCGGAATCTCCGTTCATGTTTGTGAGTTTGTTGAGACTTATTTATTGGGATTTGAAACTATAAACACTGTGGTAACGAAATTAACATATAATACACCAAACAATCAAGTTTCTTCTATGCATTCATTCTGAAACAAATAAGAGACAAACAAAGAGATGTAAAGATACGTAACAGTTATCGAATTTTCAATCAGTGTACAATGTGTTGATGGTTCAATAGTTCATGCGATATTTCCATTGACAGACCGTATACAATTTATTTTTTGTGAGTCAAATTTGGCTGTATTATTTCACTTCTGGGGAATAATTGAAATTCTGGTTCAAAAAAATTGTTGCGCGGTGAATTCAACGTCAATGGAGCGAAATTCAACTGCACGTGATTAAGAATTCATAGCTAACGACAATTTACGCGACAAACACACGCTACATCTCCTTGACTATTGAAATTGACAAATAATCGAGATACGGTAAGAAACAACAAGGAACGCAATGTGCGAAAAATGCAGGGAAAACAATATTTGATGGTTGAGGGCGAGGCGCAAGTATGATGATTCAAGCCACGCTACATCCTGGTGATTTCCTTGGCAATTATCCGCGGATTAGGAATATTTAGAGTATTGTGTTTCTCTCGAAACGGAGTAATCTATTAACGCGTCTACATAGTTAATCGCCGCGCGATTCACTTCTCCAGAAGCACATGAACTAGAGAATCTTTTGACGACCGAGTGTCATGCTTTGAACAGGCGCACAGTGGATCGAGTCAATGGACCACCAGACAAGGTACGAATTACAGCATTCTGATACATACTTCTCAACCAAAATTTCACGTAGAACACGATGCACACAACGAAAATTACCGAAATCAACTCCTTGCGAAGATATTCAATAATTCTTGATGCGTGAATTGAAACCACCCGCTCATGAAAACTCAATGCTCTACGTGATTCACATCGCGCGCTAAACGTTATCATGACAGTCTCTGCGATATAAAAATCTGGCAACCCCAATCTTGACGCTTTGGCTCAGCTATAGCAAATTGCTTATTGTTTGAACAACACATAGTGGGAAATGAACATTGCTCGATTGAGAAAATTGCTGAAACCGTTGTAGGGCGCGATTTGACTCACGTAGAGCTTTGAGTTTCTTGTGAGCGGGCAGTCCAAATTCCTGGTAACCAATGTGAAATAAAAACGTTAATATCTTCGTTAGGAGTTGGTTTCAGGAATTTTCGTTGCGCGAATCGTGTTCTAATTGAAATTTTGGGTAAGACACGTGTATCAGAATCCTTTAGTTCGTACCTTGTCTGGTGGTCCATTAGAGAGGTCGGACAATAAATTTTTGACTAAAATTGTAAATTTTGATATTTCTTTCGTCATAATTTCAATTTCAAGGAGTTTTCCTAAAAGGAAATGTTACGACAAAACCAATGGAACTACTTTTAAACTTTTTTGTTATATATTTTTGAAGATAACAGCACTCAAAATTTCCAAATTTTATCAGACTATTTATATTCATTCGTTCCACTGTGAGGCGCTGCGCGAGGATGAAATTAGCATGTGTTAAAATGATAGCTCATAACGCTATGTGTGGTGGCTCTGTTATGAAGTCAAATATTCTCTTGATGAGTACGCAGTAGCTTATTTGACGAGACGGCCGAGGCTTTTTGCTGACCACTTCATGAGGTGCGTTGTGGCTATTTGCTCTCGATCAATGCTCATTGATGGCATAACTTCAAAACTACGTAATTTTATTTTATTTATTTATTTATTTTTTATTTGACACCATTCATTGGCTATTCTACAATGCAATATACATCCCAATCTATAAATAATAGAATAATTAAAGTAGAAAAAAGGAAAACTATATTAAGGGAGACGGAAATGATAATTCATTCCCTCGGTGTCTAAGCTGGAATCGACTCTATCGGCGTTTGGCGTTTGAAGAGGTCCTTTTAGTTAGGTTGTAGATTACCGTTCACTGGAAAAAAACACATTGGATCTAGAGTCCAGACTCTTGAAAACATTGACAAGAAAAAATACTCTTGATTCAATCAGATTTAAGCTTAAATCAAAAGGAAATCCGCTCAAATTAAGAGGCTTGGTTCTTGATTTAAGCTAGATTCTGATTGAATCAAGAGTACTTTTTCTTGTCAATGTTTTCAAGAGTCAGGACTCTAGATCCAATGTGGTTTTTTTTTAGTGCATTTTGAGGGGAAACTTTTTAAGGTACCTTCCAGTTTTTAATCCCCTCGGGGGAGGAGGGCGGGGGAGAGGTTAAATTAAAAAGTTCAAACGGCCACCCCCCCCCCCTCATGGCCAGTGGTGCGTGACTTTTGAATAAACCTGTATAAAAATGAATGCGCGCTAGCGCCTACAAGACTGAATGGATACTTCTCGCCTTGCGCGTACACCACGGAGGATACTTCACGCATTACGCGTGCATTAAGCTTAAATCAAAAGGAAATCCGCTCAAATTAAGAGGCTTGGTTCTTGATTTCAGCAAAAATCCGATTGAATCAAGAGTATTTTTTCTTGTAGATGTTTTTAAGAGTCTGGACTCTAGATGCAATGTGTTTTTTCCAGTCTTAAACTTAATTTTTTGATTTGAGGATCAACATGCGCAATTTCTTGAAAGTTTTGTCAGGTTATCCTCTCTTGCTGGAGAATATTCTGATATTTGAAGCGATAAAGTTTAATTAAACCTCCAAAAATTAGAAAGGCGAGGAAATTTTGAAACGTCGAAACTTGGGTCCGCAGTTTCTTAATTCAATCATTATTAGCATCGATCCTGTTCGTTTTGTCTGAGCGAATCTCGTGATACTATTATTTCGACTAGATCGGATTACTGATTGTATAGTGTATACCGTCCACTAAAATGAAGGATCACTTGATATCAATTTTTTGAAAAGTCCGTTTTCCTTTGAAAAAAAGTTACTTCAGAGTATTGCGATGGCTAACGAACAACATCGCCTACCTGGAAACTGACAGAATTGCAAAACAAAGAGAAAACTTCGCCATTTTTGTGATTTTAAGGATAGATTTTCATTTTTTTCATACATTGCAGCATCATTGAAGCGCTTCCCCACAGAATTGAGAAAAAACTGAAATAATCAGCTTGCGTATTTTATAATTTGGTATGCGGCGAAGTCGGTAACTCATTTTTGCTCTTAAGGTAAACAAGCATTGCTTGCAATAGCAATTCCTTTCGATTAATAATAACTATGAGACCGGGTTAATATCCCTTATCAATTCCTTGCTTAGCACAGGGATATTAGCCCTGTCTCAGTGTCTCCTAGTTATTATCAACTCATTTTTGCCAAAATTGACTGTTAGGCGGTATTCACGGAAAAAATTGGATGTTGATTTAGCATTTATATTGTTAAAAACATGTTCGACAAGTTTCAAATCCTGATTTTACATTTTAAGAAATGCTAACTTAACTAAGCCCACTGTAAAACGAACAAATGTCAATATCGTGTTAGCATTTTTGTATTGTAAAATCAGCATTGGAAACTTGACGGGCCTTTTTTTTTTTTAACAATTTAAATACTAAATCAACACTTAATTTTTTTCGGTGTTATTCGTTAGCCCTCGACTGCTTTTTCCAGGAGAAGGCGATTCGATATAGGGGGAAGAATCTGCAGCGCATAAGTCGAAGCAAGGTCAATATTTTAATTGAATCCGTCCTAATTTGTGTGGCGGATGATCTACGAAATCAAAACACTGGCGATCGCCGCGCCGCACAGTGGATCGAGTCAATTAGAGAGGTCGGACATGCAATTTTTGAATATAACTGCAAATTTTGATGTTTACTTCAACACATTTTCGATCTCAAGGGGTGTTCTTGGTAGAAAATTTCATGCAAAAAACGATAGACCCACTTCTGGAACCTCAAAGTTGCGTATAAACGGAGTTATAAGCGTTTAAAGTTTCCAGATTTTGTCCGACCTCTCCTATTGACTCGATCCGCTGTGCGCCGAGGCGGGGTTCCCAGCCCCCTCATCAACGCTGATGTGTTTTCGCCACTGATTTCGCCGACTTTCCTCCGGAGACTTTAACGCGGAGCACAGTGAATCGAGTCAATTAGAAAAGTCGAACAAAATTTGGAAACTTTAAAACACACCGTTCATAGAAATCTTTGAGGTTTCCGTTGGTTTCCTCGTGAAATTTTCTTCTGTAGACACTCCTTAAAATTTAAAATGCGTCAAATTTACCATCAAAATTTGCAGCTTTAGTTAAAAGTTTTGTGTCCAGCCTCTCCGATTGGCTCAATTCACTGTGCGCCGCTTTCGTATCGACCCCTCATCAAAATTGCCGAAGCGTTCATGTTTATGTTTAAAGAAGGTAATGAAACCAGTGCAAGGCTGATATTCTGAAATTTTATTGGAGTCAAAATTCCGAATGATATATTTGCAGAAGCACTGGAAAAAAAACACATTGGATCTAGAGTCCAGACTCTTAAAAATATCGACAAGAAAAAAGACTCTTGATTCAATCAGATTCAATCAGTAAACAGCACACAAAATAGGAGGAAAAAATTGTGTGTTTTGACAACCAATAAACTTGGCAGGAAACCACTTCAATATTTGTAGAACGCACAGCATATTTTCCTTTAGCGCATAATTTTTTATGATTTGAAATGACAATTTTCCATACCAAGTGTACAGACATTTCAGAATCATGAGTTGAAAAACGCTTACTCCGCGAGTTCGAATATTTGAGTCAAACTCAACCGTGCGGCCAGCTCAAAACGCGGGTTAGCGCCTACAAGACTGCACGGATACCTCACGCATTGCACGTACGAACCGTGATGCACGCGTAATGCGTGAAGTATCATCCGTGCTGTGCGCGCAAGGCGAGAAGTATCCATTCAGTCTTGTAGGCGCTAGCGCGCATTCATTTTTATACAGGTTTATTCACAAATTTTATGTATTTTAGCCATGTTTACGCTGTTTCCTTGCATTCATTCTACTGAATCTTAAAATTTTATATGTTTCTCCTACTTTTTCTTGAAGAAGACAATGTTATTTGCGAGAAAAATTTGGCAAGGCGTGGACTGGGTCAATCTCTTTGAGAGAGAGCGAAGTGGCAGTACGGAACGCTGAACTTGATTGAGGCGCGTCGTCATAGTTGATCAATTTGAACTTTTAATTGGGAGCTAGTGTCAAATTCATGAGCGTCACGCAATGACAATGTTATGTCCGTCTGTTTTGCGCCTTTAAATTGCCGCCCCTTTTTGTAACACTTGTTTGCGCGTAGCCGAGCTGGCTCCGAATCTTGCGTTAAGGAGCATTTACATTGTGTAAACAGATCGTCGAAGCGCTCGTTCAACGCTGCGCCTGTATAAACAGCTTTATTAAAAACATCAGATTTCTCAAACGAGTGAACAAACTAGACGCATAACGATGGCTCAAATGCGAAACCACGTATCTCCGTTTGCGACGTTGCGGACTTCCTGTCATACTTCATTTGGACTGCATTTTGCAATTTGGAACTATGATTTATAGCACAGTTCAAAAACGACGCATGTACCATCAGTCTTCCTGTTAACATACGTGTTTTCACAGATGAACCAGAGATTATAGTTCCGAATTGCAAAATGAAGTCCATTTGATGGGCTGATTTTCAAAGCGCATAAGTGTGGTTTCACGATAACTGGAAAAGTTTTGTCGCCGTAACAGACAACACATTTTTTGGTCATATTTTCAGTAATAATGATAATCACTCGAATTTTTTTGCGTTAATCTACACAGGGTAACGTGTCATAACGCTTTTCAAAGATCTGTCGCTCTACTTTTAAATTTTAATGTAGAAATGGCCGAAAATGTGCTGTCTGTAACGCTGACTTTTTACCGCGTAACAGACAGCACATTTTGGGAATTTACATAATTTTAATTGAGAAGTAGAGTAATAAATCATTAGAAAGCGTTATAATACGTAATTTTGTGGAGATGAATGCCAAACAATTTGAGTAATTTTCATTTCTACTAAAAATACGATAATAAAATGTGTTGTCTGTTACGGCGACAAAACTTCTCCATTTATCTTGAAACCACCCATAAGCGCAGTTTTTGAAAAAAATTTAGATATCAACAATTTCATGTGAAACTAGTCTTAATGCATATTCTATGAAAAATTCGCCCCCGACTTCAATTCAAGAGTCAGTTTGAACTTTCCTTCCACCATGAGGATCCATTACATGTAGTTTCGAACCTTCAAACACGTATTTCTCGAAAAAGCAAGAACTGCACTTATGCGCAATGTCCTCCGAAAAACGTGAATTTCTTACGCAGATTGTGAAGTTAGGATTGCATTGCAGACTTTGTTGATGCGCTCATCGTGATTTTTGAGCCATTTTCAATGATAAGCAACTCTTGTTTTTGCTCCAGCAAAAGTTTGCAACAGGCCCATTATACGGAGTACAGAGCTAGTGGATATCGAGATACGCCCTTACTCCGAAGGAGCGACGAATTGAGAAGGAGAGAGGGAATTCGTAGGAAACTGTTTTCTGAGTCCTCTGTAGCAGTGCAATCATATCTTACGCAAGTTTCAGGCCCTATACAAAGAAAAATCAGATTCACTATCACGAGTAAACTAACTCCTTGCCGATTATATGTATTTATTGCACTGAGGGGCCCTGGTAAAAATTGGCAGTAGAATCTGTGTTCCAAAATACCATAGAGCTACGGCCGGATGTAAGATTTCCAATAGCTTCTATAGCCGGCTACACAATTTCTTATAGTCTTTTATAGCCGATGGCGATTAAGCAACTCACAGCCAGGCGATAAAGTGTATGCTAAACGTCACTAATTACGGATGCTAGGACTTAGTGAGTTTTTGGACCACTGCTCTCTTTTTGTGCCGTAGTATCTTGATTTATTTTGCGAGGAAAGCTCCGTACTTTTCATGGATGCCTGCCATTTCTAATATATTAGAGCGTCTTCAATTTCTTATGATACTGTGCAATATCTCTGGTGTGAAATAGTTGCTTCAAGCGCCGTGGCACGCTGCGGTGCGGCAGGCGGGCAGCCAGCGCGATACGCGCATTGGCGCCTACAAACCTAACAGGGATACTTCACGCGTTGCGCAATGCGTGAAGTATCCCTGTTAGGTTTGTAGGCGCCAGTGTGTCGCCGCTCCGCTTTTTGTTAGGCTCTAATACTTAATCAGGCGGAGTCAGCGTTATTCAACTCATGATTTTGAAATGTTTGCACATCCTGTATGGATTATTCTCGTTTTAGTTGATGAAAAAAATTATGTATTAAAGGAAAATATAATGCGTGTTCCGTAAATATTAAGGTGGTTCTGAATCAAACTTAATGATTTCCAAAGCACACGAATTTCTACTCAATTTCTTATAGCCTTTTATAATCGATGGCGAAAAAGCAACAGCCAGGCGATAATGTGTAAAGCCCGGCGATAGGAACTACAGCCCGGCTGCATAATTTTTTATCGCTTAGTATCGGCCGTATGATTTTCTCCGCATTCTACAGCCAGCTATATGATTTTCTGTAGCCATCTTTAGCCGGCTATAAGAATTCCTATGGTATTTTGAAACGCAGCTCTTATCGCCAATTTGTACCAAGGGGAGTAAATACCGACTGCTTCGAGGAGGCGATTTACTACCTACTCAATGCAAAATTTTAGAACGACAGCAAAGGTTTACAAGTAGCAATGAAATGTTTCGATCTGATTGTGATGCAAAGAACAAGTGGGTAGAGTCATCATTGCACAATCACAAGTTAGGGATCACCAGATCCTAACTGCGGTGACGCCACGACGGAGTCAGCTGAATATGGAAGTCAACAGTCATCGCTTAGCGGCTGAAATTTCGCAAATTCGAGTTATTTTCATCCAGATTTGTATCAAATCCATTCGAATAATGTAGACAAATCCGACATTATCCGCTGGTCGCTGAGCCTCGTTGCTAAATTTTGCGCGACACCCGCAAAATTCAGGCATCGGGCCGATTACTTCCACATTCAAGCCACATTCAGCTCCCACATTAAGCGCGAAATACTGGCTTGACGAGTTTTTCCCCCTCGATAGCGAGAATGCACTGCGTATGCAGTGTAGTGACGTCATCATGGCTCGGATCTCAATTGGATTACATTTTGCAATAAGGAACCACTATCTCTGGCTCTTCCATAAAAGCACGTATCTGAATTGGGAAATCAATGGCATATATGTTGTTTCTAAAATGAGCCAGTAATAGTGGTTCCTTATTGCAAGATTTAATCCTTATGATCACTACCTTGCAATTGTGATAGGATCGTCGTTTGATTACGATATATATTATCTTCGCGGCGAGTACATTTTCCTCGTCATAGGAGGCAACCACTCAGAACGTAAACCCTAAAAAATCTCATTTTCTATAATTCTTCACATCCCAAGGGAAATCCAAAACCGGAAGAGCAGTAGGTATCAAGCCTCGGAGTCATGTAGAAGTGTAGGTGCGCGCTCGGGTTCTCTGCGTTCGGCCGTGTTGGGCGCGAAATCCAACATTTTCCGAGGGAAGTCACGGAAAATTCGTAAGATTTCCCGGGGATCCGACAACGGGGAAAAAGCTCGCGTTATGTCGCGTTATGCTCTACGTCATTTGGCGACGACGCGGCAGAGGGTTCAAGTACGGCTATTATTAGTGAAACAATTGACCGATGGAATAATCGCCCTCCGCTCCCCCTTCTCCCACGATCGTAAACATAACCTAGCACTTGGAGGAAACCGCCGCGCCGTCTTAAAATTTAAGAGGGAGCGGTAAGCTATGGGACGGGCGAGCGTGGTAAGTCGGCCAAATTTCACCTCCTCTTCCTTCCGAACTTTTTCCCCACGTGCAAGTCCGGGTTCATAATGGGCTAAATTTTGATCGACGCCCTTAAAGGGGGCCCTATTTCAGGGGGAGAGTCCTGTGTCCGAATCCGACAGGCGATATGCGCAAAATGTACATAAATATTTCTTGATCGCTCCTAAATATTCACGGTCAGCTAGCGATGAAAATACTGGAATCCAGACAACTTTTTTTTTTGATCGATGTACTAAAATATAATAAGGATCTCCAGGTAGGACTCAATTGGGTGAAGAAAAGCTATGAAAATATAAAATTAGTCGGTAAAGTACGATTCTAGGGTGCCATAGAAGACGTCCAGTTTTCATCATAAATTATCACGGTAAAAAGCATTTTAGCATCTGAAGAACCCCAATGGCCCCTGAATATCGATCAAACAAGCCGAAATGACTGCTAAATTTTTCGGTACGATACGGACACTGTCTCAGACCCCCCTCTTCTTAAGACCAAAAGAATAATGTTAAGTTTTGGGAAAGCGTTTCAGATTCACCTTTAAAAAATGACAATTTTAAACAGTTTTGAGATGTCAAATTGCAATAAACACTTTGATGTCAGAATAGAGGTTGATTTTGACAAATAAAAAATGACAGAGGACTCGAAAAATACATTTTTGTTACAGAATTACTGGTGTTTTGGAATAAAGACTCAAACATTTTGCGCCCCTCAAAATTATGCACTCTAGACTGTAACGTGTGTACAGGTTAATGGCAAATCCGGCCTTAGCCCTCCTGTTAGCATGATCTTATTACCATAAAGGAACGTTTCGAAGTATTGTAAGCAGGAAATGTACTCCAAGATAAGAAATGTAGCTTTGTCCGAAAGTATTTATTTAACAGATTTTTGCCAACTAAATAAGGTACATGCGAGGATGATGTAAAATAAAGTGGGTAGGTATAATGAAAATATTGCGCAGATAGAAAACACTAGATGTAAGAGAAAAACGGTGAAGAGGAAAATATAGTTTTAACAGAGAATTGCAATCATCAAAAGCTTACCAAACAAAATAAAAGAGGAAATTGAAGTCAAAACGAATTTTGCCGCCGTCAGAATAATGCAGATATACACGAAGTCAATCAGTATCACAAGAAACGTAATTTTTAAAAATTGGCAGTGAAATATTAAAACATCGCTTCCCGTTCTCAGTTCCCTAAGTGAGTTTCTAGAAACACCGTACGTGAGGCAACCACCGTTCAAAATTCAGATTATTTTGAAATATTACAAAATATGGGTCCAAAAAATTGACAACCATCACGAAAAGAGGCTCTTTGATGGGAATTATCAAATCTGCCAACTCTAGAATACAGCACTATCACGGAAAAAGCTCTACGATAGGAATTATCAAATCCGCCAACTCTGAAATACAGCACTATCACGAAAAAAGCTCTACGATAGGAATTATCAAATCCGCCAACTCTTAAATACAGCACTATCACGAAAAAAGCTCTGTGATGGGAATTATCAAATCTGCCAACTCTGGAATATAGCACTTGGAAATCTTAAAACCCGGTAGGTGGAATATTATCAACGTTAACTTCCACGAGGAAAATTGGGGGGTCCAGGCACTTTTTGAAACTCTATCGCGAGGCGGATTTTCGGAAATTTGCGCTGGGCGGAAAAATTGGCGGAAGGCGGGAGCGGGACCCACACGGCCTCTGGGATGGCGCGCCGGGGGGGAACTGGCCGCGGCAGGTATTCAAGCGGAAAGCGGCGAAAAATGCGACGACATGCCAAATAACGATCGCAAGTTGGCACTTGCAAATGAGCGCCGGACGCGGGATCTGCCCGAAAAAATCCCGCTTTCAAAGGGGTTCCCGATTTCGGCGAGGTGGAATTTGGCGGGCATCGCATTAGAGGCTCATATCATGACGAGGCGTCGTTGATTGAGCGGCAAAACATCTTCCTGTATCGTTCCGTGCTAAAAGAAATCCAAATCAAGTATGGTTTTAAAAAAAGGAGAACGATGGAGAGGGTGGGAGACATGGGAGAAGTTGGGAAAATATTAGAAAAACGATCGTAAATTTCTCAATTTATACTTAGAAAAATGGCGAAAAGTGTCAACGTCCAGATGAGTCGATCTATATCGAGGGATATATCGTAATAATCTATAAGTTTATGGTTGATGGAAAAATCCTCGGGAAATGTAAATTTAAAAAAAAAAAAAAAAAAAAAAAAAAAAAAAAAAAAAAA